CAGCGAAGAAACCCAAGGACAACCTGCATTGCAGGGGCGATGCCACAGAAGCGCCTCAGCTGATCCCAGCTGCTTCCCAGTGGCCGGGGCGATGAGGACAGCCGAGGCCAAACCCCAACCCGGCCCAGCAGGTGGACACCCCCAACATATTGGGGACCAGGAAGTGACCAGGACCCTCCTCCTCAGCAGAGGGCACAGGAACAACCAACCCGGGACGAAGCCTCCAGGCAACAGAGGAGAACGAGATGGAACAGGGGCGCTCAGGCCCTCAGAACCGTGCTGAAAGGAAAACCAACTGGGGCCCTTCAACAAGTTCATTACCCCTCACTACGACATGGTGAAAAAACCTGGGGGGCGACCATCCCTTCCATCAAGCTCAGCTGCGAACACACTCAGGGGAGAGATCGTGGCGAAGCCGCGCGTCGGGGACACATACGATCGACTGAAGGCAATGGCTGCAGAGAATCCGAGGATAAGGGAGCTCCGGGCTAAAGAAAAGATGCACAAGGGGGTTGTGCTCCACGTCCTGTACCCTACCAGCAGAGCGTTTCCTCGATGCAACCAACATTGTCAAGGCAGAGAGGCTGCCCACCGGACCAACAAGATTCCAACACGGAATATGTTGACCACCACCGAGGGCCTACCATCCCACATCGCACTGGGGGTGGGGGCGGTTCAAAATTCGGCCATATGAAAGAGGGCCCACTACAATTGTACAACTGCCAGGGGTTTAAACCCATATCGCGGTCCCTGCCAACATGTGAAGAAGTGTGGAGTCTGCAGCAAGCAGCACGACTCCAAGGATTGCATTGCATTGCTCAAGCAGCCCCCCCGAGACCCACGCCGAACCCCAAGTGCGCCAACTGCGGAAAGAAACACCACGCATGGAACCAGGGCTGTCCTGTAAATGGTACAGCGGTGGCAAAGGTGCGACAGGGATGGCCCCTGTGGCGACAGCCAGCCCAACTCGGTAAACACCCAACAGCAACGGGTTTGGGGACATCGACCAATGCCCCTCTCCACGCCCCAACCCATGGAAACATATCACACCGGCCAATCGCGGCACCCAGTACAGGCCCCTCTGCGGCGGCCTCACCCTACAGCAGAGAGTTCCCAGCACTGGGGGAGCAACAGAGGGACCAGTTGCACCGCAAGGGGAACAACGGCATGGGCAAGTCTCGAAGCCTCAGCAGAAAGGGAAAACAAAGGAACACAACAAGCCCGGCTCAGGGACGCTGCTCAAGGAGCTGCGGCTACTCAGCACCAACAGGACACCAGCAAGGGATTCCGTCCGAGTCAGTCCCCCCCGAGTGCAGCAGGAAACAGGCCGCGGCACCCAGTCAGATGGCACAGAGAACCACGGAGACCTGCGCGACCTGCGGGTCAGCAGCAGCAACAATCGCGGGAGTGGGCCAACAACCTCAGGCCGCAGCCAAGGAAGCCCTGTCCCCCAGAGGGGGGGCACCTCGCAGGTTCACATTGTCACCGTAATCAAGCTTGGGGTTTAGAGGTGCTATCCATGTACCATCAATGAAGGACAGGCAGGTCTGCAAGGAGCTCCTGACTACCGTGTACAGCATGGCTCTCCTGGAGAGGGTCGATCAGCAGCCCTGAAAGATCACCTCACCAGGTTCTTCACGCCCGAGGAAATGGTTTAGAAACACGCACGGATGTTCCGGAGGACCATGGCGAACAGGAGAGAGATGGAGTCCGCGGGTCGCCCGGCAGTCCCTAAAAATTCTCCAGTGGAAACATCTGTGGTTGAGGCGGGAAACTCCACCTAGCTATCCAGGCGCAGTCCGGGATGAGATAGATGTGTTTCTGTTCCAAGAAACCCTTGTCAAGCCCCCACCCGCCCCACACCCACGCATCCTGGGTTCTCTGCATACCTGCAGCGTGGTGGGCCCCCGCCAGGGGCACCGCATCTATGTGCGGAATTGCATCCCCCACTCGATCGTCACTGACCCTATCAACTGCGGTGAAGGGGTGGAGGTGCAAGCTGTCACGCTGAAAACTGCCATCTGGACCACTGACTATTTACAATGTGTACCGGAGCGCAGGGTTTTACTCCGACCTCTCGGAGGTTGCAGCTTGTTCCATATCTCGCCTCGAGGGCGTGCTCGTGGCGGGGACTTCAACGCCCATCATGAGCTTCTCCACTCTGTCTCCCATACCAATGGGGACGGGCAGGCACTTGGCGGCTGTGCTCGATGATGTTCCTGAGTCGTCCTCCTCAACAATGGGGAGCCGACCCACCACGGCGGCAACCGACTGGATGTCACTTCCTCTCTCGGAGACTGCAGCCTGGAGTGAGGTGGGAACTCCACCCACTTTCACCAGCGACCACTTCGCGATCGTCACCACGCTGGCGCTCACCCAGCACATCCCATACACACCGCCTCCACGGTGGAATTTCAAGAAGGCGGACTGGCAGTGCTTCCAGGATTTTCATACAGCAATGGTGGGAGACAACCTCCCTCTCTGACATCCTGATGCAGCTGCCCAGAACCTCCAAGCTGCCGTCACCCATGCGGCTGAGGTGGCCATCCCACTTACCAAGGTGGAGGTACCATCAAGCGGGATGGTGGTTCTTACGACGAGACAGTCAAGGAGCAAAACCACCGTGTCAACAGTGCCCGCAGGCTCCACAGACGCAACCCTATGCTGACACCCTTCGGCTACTGAGAGAGGTGGTGCGGCACGCTCGCCAATCTCCCACAGAGTCGCTGGCAAAGTGGTTCAAATGGTGTGCCTCTTGGGCCAATGCCACTACCCTGTCTGAGATCTGGGCGAAAATAGGTATAGCTACCGGAAAACGCAGAGGAACAGCGCGTGCTACCATGCCCCGGGTGGTGAAGCAGAGAGGCTGGTCGACCTCTTCACTTCCAGGGCAGCAACAGCACGCCTGCCACAAGATGTGGGAGAACCTCCAGGCTGTCCTCCTCCCAGACAGGACTGCCAGGCTACAGGCTGCATGCTGCGAACACGGGCGACACCGATGTAGACTTTTAGCGACCGGGAGCTGAAGGCAGCCCTCAGGACATCACCGACACCACCCCCGGCCAGGATGGCATCACCTACAGTATATCGCAAGGGCGGGCCCTCTGGACATGATGCACTCTTGGAGGTCTCAACTGCTCCTGGAGGGCTGGACAACTCCCACTGCGTGGAAGGAGGCCAACGTCCTGCCCACCCCAAGCCCAGGGACCGGAAAGCATTGAGGCCCATCTCTCTCACCAGCTGTCTGTCCAAGACGGCTGAGAGGATGATCCTTGAGCGGACTACGGTGGAAGCTTGGCCCCGGAACACCGTCACATATACGGCTTCACACGAGGAGTGGGCACGCAGAGAGCATCACCACCCTCCTTTCAGCATTGGGTCTAACAAGAGACAAAATTGTTGTCTTCCTGGACTCGAGAAAAGGGCCCTTTTAGCTTGCCAGCGCACCAGCCATCCTTGACCTCTAGCAGGCAGGGGGTGAAGGGAGGGCTCCTTGCCTGGATCTCTTCATACCTGCAGGGCAGGTGTGCACGAGTGCGTTTCAGGGACAAGTGTCCACCCTCAGGCCCTTGGAAAACGGCACCCCGCAGGGAGGGGTCCTCAGCCCCGCTCTCTTCAATGTCCCGATGCATGGCTGGTGCAGCTTCATTCTCTTTAGGCCCCCAGCTGCTCAGCTACGCTGATGATCTTGCCCTCATCATCACCGGAGATGTGGTTTGAGGGATAGAGCCCAACGTGACCTTAACCTCCTCTCCACCGCCTGCCGTCGTCTCGGCCTCAAGGTCTCAGCAGAAAAATCCAAGGCCATGATCCTGCATGCCAATGTGCCGGAGGGGAGACTGCAGATGTCAGGAGTCAATCTCGGACTGGGTCGTAGCTACCTGTACCCGGGAGTGCACATCGACAATCGGCTCTCCTTTCGGAATCAGGGGGAGTAGTCAGGAGCGGACCATGCAACGGGTCACCGCCATGCGGGCCCTCGCCAGCCTAGGTCAGGGGCCAGCCGTGACATTCTCGATTATTCTATGTGCAGGCGGTGCGCTCTCTCACGACTATGGGGCACTTACCCTTGTCCATGCCCCCCAACGCACCTTCGAAGACTAACGTCGTCCAAAATACTGCAGCTGGATCATGTTGGGGGCGCCGAGGTGGACGAAAAACTGTGCCCTGATCATGAGGCTCAATTGCAGCCGCTACGCGACAGAATCGCCCTTGTGGCAGCCAGGAGGGTGGCCCAAATACGTACAACTCCCCGGTGGGGGAGGGACTGCTGCAACACCTCCTCGAACGGCAACAGGGAGACTCAGGGAGTCTCCTGGCGGCTGTGGGTGTGGTTTAGCGGCTGATGTAGCAAGCAAACTCCTCCCATGGCGCTTATAGTCGACAAGGGCTGTGACCGGCCTGTGGCGGGGTACTCTGTACTCCCCCCTGGGCACAGAAGCAGTTGTGATCCACATCCAAGACTCCCAGTTGGCAAGCGTCACTGTCCACAACACGTGCTGCAGCAATGGGCTGCAGTGAGTTTTTTGCAGCAGCAGAGCACCCTGGTGTGCGCCGTTTTATTACACCCATGGCTCGGGATCCAGAGGCTGGCCGCACAGGTGCCGGGGTTGCACCACGCCACTCTGACGGCTGGATGGCGTCTCCAAGATCACTGCACAATTCTCCAGGCAGAACTCCATGCCATCCAGAGGGCCTGCAACACGCACTCCTGGGTCATCGGCGACCCCCAGTCATTCATGTGGACTCCAGAGCGGCGATCCAGGCCGTCATGCAAAAGGGGGCCCAGGGACAACATCCGGCTCATACTGCCATCAGGAAGGACCTGCAGACACTTAAGGAGCAGGGACAGCAAGCAACAATCAACTGGATACCGAGCCACATCGACCCCGCTGGGAATGATGCGGCAGATCGAGCGGCGAAGGTCGCCAAACCCTTGAGGCCCAGCCAGTGACCACCATTGCTATCAGCCGAAGGCAGGTGGATCTGTGGGCAAACTCATGCAGCCAGGCGCCCGCTACCAGGGGCCAGGCACATCGCGGAGCCGGATCTGGGTAAAGACAGGGCGACCCGTGGGGAGCCCCGCCGAGAATGCGGAGGCTAGACAGAAAGTTGCAGGTTGGGGTCCACCGGCTGCGACTTGGCTACCCCAAATGCCAGGGAAGACTCATTGACCGTGTGCGAGAGGAGCGCTGCTGCCATTGCAACCGATGGTCCCCGGTCCACTAGTGCACTACCCCCTCGAATGTCCAGCGACGGTGTCACTCCGACGAAGGCACTTCCCAATTTGGGGCCCGGGGACCCGAACCCAGAAGACCCCCGCAGCCCCGGTGGTGTACCTAGCCACCCAAGACCTGGGAACTCTCATCCCCATCCTGGCTGCCCCCCACCACCCCGATGACGCCGCCACATACAAATACGAGTCGCCACTACGCTCCATCTATCACCTCTCCTACTCTTCCCTCTTTCACTCCCCTACCTCCTCTCCTCCCCCGTTTTAAAAAAAAAAAAAAAAAAAAAAAAAAAAAAAAAAAAAAAAAAAAAAAAAAAAAAAAAAAAAAAAAAAAAAAATCCAATGGAGCCTGTACCGCTTTCTAGGTAAGTCTGAATCACCTAGAACCAATGCCGCACTACCAAAATTTGACGGGGCTACAAATGCCTGAAGACCCTTGACCTTGCGATGCCTGCCGACGAGAAAGAAAGAAGACACTCCCCACTTGGGGAGTCAGTGCCAGATAGAAGAAGTTACCTCCAACCGGAGTGCCCAGAGAGAAGATAGAAGAATGAAGAAGACGAATCGGACACCCCGCCCCGGGGGCCACCGCCGGGTCACCATCTGGAGAAGACCCGGGCCGGAAGTACGGCACTATCTTTATGAATGAATGAAGGCGGCTCCCGCACAATTTCATTGACATTACCCCTCAACGCAAGCTGCATCATGCTCCAAAACTTCAGGAAAGGCTGCCAAGAAAGCTGGAAAAGCCCAGAAAGCAATTGCAAAGGGCGACAAGAAGAAGAAGCGCAGGAGGAAGGAGAGCTACAGTATCTACATCTACAAGGTGCTGAAGCAAGTCCATCCTGATACTGGCATCTCGTCCAAAGCAATGTCGATCATGAATTCATTTGTGAACGACATCTTTGAGCGCATTGCAGCTGAAGCTTCTCGCCTAGCTCACTACAACAAGCGTTCTACCATTACTAGTCGCGAAATCCAGACAGCAGTAAGGCTCTTGCTACCTGGAGAACTGGCTAAGCACGCTGTTTCTGAGGGCACCAAGGCTGTAACCAAATACACCTCCTCTAAGTAAATGGCAGAATGCACTCTCAAAGAAGGAAAATTAGGCTCCATTGGAGCCACAGATTGATTTCAAAGAGACTATTGACTAAACAACAACAAAAATTAATTTTATCTATTTATTTATTTTTTTTTTTTTTATCTGAAATGAAACAAATTCTCATTATTATTTAGTTACGTAGTAATTCTTGAAAGATTTTCTTTATAACTAGATTACTTACTGTCCCATGTCCTTTCTTTGTAGCTTTCAATACCACCTAGTTATTATTCTTTCGATTACATTTCCCTCCCCAACAAATAAGGCAAGAAATATAGGCAAATAAAGAGAAACAGTTACAGGAGCATTGTTGGTGCAGTGGCTACTGAAAAAGGCTTGATTTCATATGCTAACAAGGGGTGTTAGTATTTCTGTTTCTCTACCCATTCTTTCTATACTATCTATCTACCTACCAATCTATATATCCATCTATATATATATATATATATATATATATATATCCATATGTGTATCCCTACCCCATCCACGATGGGTCCTTTCCTATCCTTGAAATGTTACCTACCTAGTCTGTGTGGACATTGCAACAACATTTAACAAAGTAAGAGGACTCTTTGCCTGTTTATTAATAAATAACATCATCTAGGAGGTAGCTATATAAATAGTCTTGTTATTATTATTATTATTATGCATTAGTCTATATCATCTCTTTAATAACATTATCTTGTGGCCCTAATAAGGGCCTGTTTGTATGTATACGTAGGTTGGGACCTAAGCACGTTCTCCACGGATGCGGCGAGCTAACTGAATGTCCTTAGGCATGATGGTAACACGCTTAGCATGGATGGCACACAAGTTAGTATCTTCAAAGAGACCAACTAAGTAAGCCTCAGAGGCCTCTTGTAAAGCCATGACAGCTGACGACTGGAATCGCAGGTCAGTCTTGAAATCTTGAGCAATCTCACGTACAAGTCGCTGGAATGGAAGTTTCCTGATGAGCAGCTCAGTGCTCTTCTGGTAGCGACGGATCTCACGTAGAGCAACGGTACCAGGCCTGTAACGATGAGGCTTCTTGACACCTCCAGTGGCAGGTGCAGACTTGCGGGCTGCCTTCGTAGCCAGCTGCTTTCGAGGAGCTTGCCTCCCGTGGACTTGCGGGCTGTTTGCTTAGTGCGAGCCTTCTGTATGACTGATATGAAAAATTTCCCGCTACATCTTGCTTTTATAGTGCAGCCCGCCGCCTCGATCTGCGATTCCATTGGCTAAGAACTCCGCTGACGTCCTCACTAAGCTCCGCCTACTCTCGCCTTCCTCCTGCTCCTGTTTCTACATTATGTCTCGTCATTTGTTTCTTTAGAAGGTTGTATGGAATTACACCTCATAGGTCAATGAGTGAGAGCAGCAGGCACCTTTAGGTCTAAAGGCGAAATCAGGAATTAGAGCATAGACTGAAAATTAGCAAGGAAGTTATACTCTAGGTATAGTGCTACGTAGGCGTGAACTTACCGCGTCCACACGCTGGGTATATAACAAAGCGAAAAACGCGGCATTTAGACTTCGACTCATTCTCTGGGAGAGAGCGGTGTGGCTGCATCTTGTCTGGTGACTTATTTGATTCTGCAATGATGGTCGCGGCAAGGGAGGCAAAGGACTTGGAAAGGGTGGCGCCAAACGTCATCGCAAGGTTCTTCGTGACAACATCCAGGGCATCACCAAGCCCGCTATTCGTCGACTGGCTCGTCGTGGCGGCGTCAAACGTATTTCTGGCCTGATCTACGAGGAAACTCGAGGAGTTCTCAAAGTTTTCTTAGAGAACGTCATCCGAGATGCCGTCACATACACAGAACACGCCAAGAGGAAAACTGTTACTGCAATGGATGTCGTTTATGCCTTGAAACGGCAAGGACGCACCCTCTATGGCTTTGGTGGTTAAATCATTACAACTACCAACGATCTTTTTTCCTCAACAAACAAACATCATAATCGAGGAAAAGAAAAAAAAAAAAAAGGACCTTATTAAAGGTCCATATTGATTTCAACGAAAAGAGTTTGCAATTAGACAATATATTACATGAATAGTATAAAACTAAATTACCTTCCTAGCTACATGAAATAGATATATATATATATATATATATATATATATAATATATATATTATATATATATATATATATATATATATATATATAATATATATATATATATATTATATATATATTATAATAATATATATATTATATATATATATATATATATATATATATATATATATTATATATAATATACTATTAATAATCAGTATATTTTACTAAAGAAATTACTTGGGAATTTGACATTTCTGCAAGAATTTATTAAGAAAAGGTTTCTTGCTTGCTTCCTTCAGGTCTTGACTGATCGCTGAATGTTGGTTTTCAGGCGTGCGTGCGCGCGCGTGCGTGCGTGCGTGCGTGCGTGCGTGCGTGCGTGCGTGCGTGTGTGTGTGTGTGTGTGTGTGTGTGTGTACTCACCTAGTTGAGGTTGCGGGGGTCGAGTCCGAGCTCCTGGCCCCGTGTGTGTGAGAGTGTGTGTGTGTGTGTGTGTGTGTGTGTGTGTGTGTGTGTGTGTGTGTGTGTGTGTGTATGCTTGTCTGTGTGTGTTAGGGAGAGAGGTAGGGGGAATAGGGGCGGTGGATGGACACACAATGAAACAGGTATGGCAGCTTCGTCCTTAGGGAAAACAACTGTGTTTTCATGTGTCCAGAGTTTTTCATGTAATTATTGTTTTTTTACGGCTGCCTGACAGACTTAGGCGTGGCCTAGTATTGTAACTGAAAGTAAATCGTTTGTTTGGTAGCTACCAAATGTAGGTTAGACAAATCAGTTTGTCGAAATGGTTGTTTTTGAGAGGGACTAATAGTAGCATATGAGGTACAAAGGATATGGAATCCTCTTTCCTTGAGCATGTAGAACATAAGAACATAAGAACGAAGGAACACTGCAGAAGGCATGTAAAGGACCTGCCTAGTATGGGCCAACAGGCCTGCTGCAGTGATCCTCCTTTCTTGTTCTTGTTCTATGTTCTTATGTAGGTCACCTTGAAAAACAACATTGCTTCAAGAATTTGAAAGGGCCGCCCAGCCGACCGGCCGGCAGGCAGGCAGGCAGGCAGGCAGGCAGGCAGGCAGGCAGGCAGGCAGGCAGGCAGGCAGGCAGGCAGGCAGGCAGCAGGCAGGCTGGCTGGCTGGCTGGCTGGCTGGCTGGCTGGCTGGCTGGCTGGCTGGCTGGCTGGCTGGCTGGCTGGCTGGCGCTGAGGAGGAGGACCTGCCTAGAATATGCCAGAAGGCTTGTCTCAGTGTTCCTCCATTAACTTGTTTTTTTCTGTTGTGGCCTACAGTACAGTACAGTACAGTACAGTACAGTACAGCCAGCACATAAATGATGGCCGGCCAGTACTGACTCCCCACTCTCCACCCCCCGCCATTGTAGATGAATGGTTCAGAGAACCGACATGTTGATAAATTAGACACATGTGCAACTCTTGGGTATCTTTAATGAGGAAACGTTTCACCACGCAGTGGCTTCATCAGTCCATACGTAGGAGAAACTTGAAGAACAGGAGGAGAATGAGGTAATCAGTCCCTCAACCCCCCGGCATCCCCACACCCCCCAAATAAAAGGTTCACATTAAAGTGCATAATGATGTAACTAAGTAAAGTAGGTAAATAACATAATAATTTGAGCAGAGCTATAAATAAATACAAATCTCAGAATTACTTGGTGTAAATTACCGAGGATAACCGGAAATAGTTATTGTGACTTATTTTCATTCTAAGTTGATGCTCACTTTAAAGTTTATTAAGTTAACTTTATTCCCTTTTTATGTCTTATTGTTACAAGTGATTCTCACACAACACAATTACTTAGGTGGCGGATCTAAGTTTGAATGAAGGTATTATATTTAGAAATTCTTGAATTATTACAAGGACACAAGATGCAGAGGAGTTATTAAGGTTGTTTGACTCGGGTAGGTTATCCTAAGTAATATACACTATGTATGGTAATTGTAGCTGTGTGTGTGTACATATTAGGTAAAAGGACACACATGCATAAAGGGATTACTAAACGGTTGTAATCTTTAATAAATACATAC